AATGAAACCTGCACCAAAAATTTTAACCTGTTCACTCAACCGGAAAATGTAGGTCAGATTACACACAGAAGCAAGTCTGGTAGTATGCATTTAAGATGTACCATCCATGCAAGTTTGGTCATTATATGTCTCATAAAACTTGGAAATGAAACCTGCACCAAAAACTTTAACCTGTTCACTCAACCGGAAAATGTAGGTCAAATTCAGCATTGCAAGTCTAGTAGAATGCATCCTAAGATATACCATCCATGCAAGTTTGGTCATTATAGGGCTCATAATTTGAAATGAAACCTGCACCAAAAACTTTAACCTGTTCACTCAACCGGAAAATGTAGGTCAGATTCAGCATCCGAAGCAAGTCTGGTAGTATGCATCCTAAGATGTACCATCCATGTAAGTTTGGTCAACATAGGGCTTATAGTTACTCGGAAATGAGACCTATACCAAACGAAAGCGTGCACCAAAAATGTTAACCTGCACCAAAAACATTAACCTGGTCATTCCTTTGCTGAAATTGCAGCATCTGAAACTTTGACTGGTACAATGAAACACATTAGAAACATCTTCCATGCATGTCTAATGAATATAGGACATAGAAGTACTTAAAAAGAAAACTGCTCAAAAAAACTTAACCTTAACCCGGGACGCCGACGCTATTACATAAGCTCCCCCCAACTTCGTTGAGGTGAGCTAATGAAGCATCCTGAAGATGCACTTTCTAATGACATGTGAAGTATGAGATATCAAGAAATATCTTCTAATGAAACATGACTGTGAAGTATTCTGTGGTCAATAAAAAGTACAATATGCTGTTGGGACAAACACTGATGATACTCTTGCAAACAATTGTCATACTCTAAATTGTTTACTATTTTTTTGTTGTTGACCCAAACAAACATGGCGATTGTGAGTAGTCAACAGGGATGCTCCTCTATGGCCCCTGATCCTACTCCTGATGTTTCAGAGGTCACTGTTTGCTACATGTACTCTATATCTTTATTTTTTTTTCAATGGACAGCTTACTGTTCATTGTCTTCATATTTCATTCTAGAACTCTTATTTCTAAACAAGCTTCCACATAAGTTTCAGTTTTTCTGGCTCAGTGGTTCTTGAGAAGAAGTTATTAAAGTTTTTTCCTATAGATTTCAATGTAAAACTTGCATTCCCTATTGTGGCCCTGTCCTACCCCAGGGGGTCATGATTTTGAAGAATTTAGAATCTGCACTACCCCAGGATGCTTCCACATAAGTTTCAGCTTTTCTGGCCCAGTGGTTCTTGAGAAGACGATTTTTTAATGACCCCACTCTATTTTTGACTTTTCTTGATTATCTCCCCTTGGAGGGGGACTTGGCCATTTATTTTACTTTAACAATTTAAAATTCCCTTCACCCAAGGAGGCTTTCTACCAAGTTTGGTTTAAATGGGCCCACTGGTTCTTAAGAAAAAGTCGAAAATGTGAAAAGTTTACAGACAGACGGACGGACAGACAACGGGTGATCAGAAAAGCTCACTTGAGTGAGCTAAAATATTACAAAAAAGGGGCATTCTGACTGAGCTATCAAGACTGTTCTACAGAAATAATACATCTCTGTCAGAGAGAGAACTTAAAGCCTCAGTACTGGAGTAACAGGAGGAGGGAACTGTGTGAGGATCTATATCAGTAAAAGGAGGAGGGAACTGTGTGAGGATCTATATCGGTAACAGGAGGAAGGAACTGTGTGAGGATCTATATCAGTAACAGGAGGAGGGAAATGTGTGAGGATCTATATCAGTTAACAGAAGGAGGGAACTGTGTGAGGATCTATATCAGTAACAGGAGGAGGGAACTGTGTGAGGATCTATATCAGTAACATAGGCAGAGCAGAGAGAAAACTTAAAGCCTCAGTACTGGAGTTAACAGGAGGAAGGAATTGTGTGAGGATCTATATCAGTAACATAATACTGGAGTAACAGGAGGAACATAGGCAGAGCAGAGAGAGAACTTAAAGCCTCAGTACTGGAGTAACAGGAGGAAGGAACTGTGTGAGGATCTATACAGTAACATAGGCAGAGCAGAGAGAAAACTTAAAGCCTCAGTACTGGAGTAACAGGAGGAAGGAACTGTGTGAGGATCTATATCAGTAACATAATACTGGAGTAACAGGAGGAAGGAACTGTGTGAGGATCTATATCAGTAACATAATACTGGAGTAACAGGAGGAAGGAACTGTGTGAGGATCTATATCAGTAACAGGAGGAAGGAACTGTGTGAGGATCTATATCATCAGTAACAGGAGGAAGGAACTGTGTGGGGATCTATATCAGTAACAGGAGGAAGGAACTGTGTGAGGATCTATATCAGTAACATAATACTGGAGTAACAGGAGGAGGGAACTGTGTGAGGATCTATATCAGTAACAGGAGGAGGGAACTGTGTGAGGATCTATATCAGTTAACAGGAGGAGGGAACTGTGTGAGGATCTATATCAGTAACAGGAGGAGGGAACTGTGTGAGGATCTATATCAGTAACAGGAGGAGGGAACTGTGTGAGGATCTATATCAGTAACATAGGCAGAGCAGAGAGAAAACTTAAAGCCTCAGTACTGGAGTTAACAGGAGGAAGGAATTGTGTGAGGATCTATATCAGTAACATAATACTGGAGTAACAGGAGGAACATAGGCAGAGCAGAGAGAGAACTTAAAGCCTCAGTACTGGAGTAACAGGAGGAAGGAACTGTGTGAGGATCTATATCAGTAACAGGAGGAAGGAACTGTGTGAGGATCTATATCATCAGTAACAGGAGGAAGGAACTGTGTGGGGATCTATATCAGTAACAGGAGGAAGGAACTGTGTGAGGATCTATATCAGTAACATAATACTGGAGTAACAGGAGGAGGGAACTGTGTGAGGATCTATATCAGTAACAGGAGGAGGGAACTGTGTGAGGATCTATATCAGTTAACAGGAGGAGGGAACTGTGTGAGGATCTATATCAGTAACAGGAGGAGGGAACTGTGTGAGGATCTATATCAGTAACATAGGCAGAGCAGAGAGAGAACTTAAAGCCTCAGTACTGGAGTAACAGGAGGAAGGAATTGTGTGAGGATCTATATCAGTAACATAATACTGGAGTAACGGTAGGAACATAGGCAGAGCAGAGAGAAAACTTAAAGCATCAGCACTGGAGTAACAGGAGGAAGGAACTGTGTGAGGATCTATATCAGTAACATAATACTGGAGTAACGGTAGGAACATAGGCAGAGCAGAGAGAAAACTTAAAGCATCAGCACTGGAGTAACAGGAGGAAGGAACTGTGTGAGGATCTATATCAGTAACAGGAGGAAGGAACTGTGTGAGGATCTATATCGGTAACAGGAGGAAGGAACTGTGTGAGGATCTATATCAGTAACAGGAGGAGGGAAATGTGTGAGGATCTATATCAGTTAACAGGAGGAGGGAACTGTGTGAGGATCTATATCAGTAACAGGAGGAGGGAACTGTGTGAGGATCTATATCGGCAACAGGAGGACAACTGTGTGAGGATCTATATCAGTAACAGGAGAGGGAAATGTGTGAGGATCTATATCAGTTAACAGGAGGAGGGAACTGTGTGAGGATCTATATCAGTAACAGGAGGAGGGAACTGTGTGAGGATCTATATCAGTAACATAGGCAGAGCAGAGAGAAAACTTAAAGCCTCAGTACTGGAGTTAACAGGAGGAAGGAATTGTGTGAGGATCTATATCAGTAACATAATACTGGAGTAACAGGAGGAACATAGGCAGAGCAGAGAGAGAACTTAAAGCCTCAGTACTGGAGTAACAGGAGGAAGGAACTGTGTGAGGATCTATATCAGTAACATAATACTGGAGTAACGGTAGGAACATAGGCAGAGCAGAGAGAAAACTTAAAGCATCAGCACTGGAGTAACTGTGTGAGGATCTATATCAGTTAACAGGAGGAGGGAACTGTGTGAGGATCTATATCAGTAACAGGAGGAAGGAACTGTGTGAGGATCTATATCATCAGTAACAGGAGGAAGGAACTGTGTGAGGATCTATATCGGTAACAGGAGGAAGGAACTGTGTGAGGATCTATATCAGTAACATAATACTGGAGTAACAGGAGGAGGGAACTGTGTGAGGATCTGTATCAGTAACAGGAGGAAGGAACTGTGTGAGGATCTATATCAGTAACAGGAGGAAGGAACTGTGTGAGGATCTATATCAGTTAACAGGAGGAAGGAACTGTGTGGGGATCTATATCAGTAACAGGAGGAAGGAACTGTGTGAGGATCTATATCAGTAACATAATACTGGAGTAACAGGAGGAGGGAACTGTGTGAGGATCCATATCAGTAACAGGAGGAGGGAACTGTGTGAGGATCCATATCAGTAACAGGAGGAGGGAACTGTGTGAGGATCCATATCAGTAACAGGAGGAGGGAACTGTGTGAGGATCTATATCAGTAACATAGGCAGAGCAGAGAGAAAACTTAAAGCATCAGTACTGGAGTAACAGGAGGAAGGAATTGTGTGAGGATCTATATCAGTAACATAATACTGGAGTAACGGTAGGAACATAGGCAGAGCAGAGAGAAAACTTAAAGCATCAGCACTGGAGTAACAGGAGGAAGGAATTGTGTGAGGATCTATATCAGTAACATAATACTGGAGTAACGGTAGGAACATAGGCAGAGCAGAGAGAAAACTTAAAGCCTCAATACTGGAGTAACAGGAGGAAGGAACTGTGTGAGGATCTATATCAGTAACAGGAGGAAGGAACTGTGTGAGGATCTATATCGGTAACAGGAGGAAGGAACTGTGTGAGGATCTATATCAGTTAACAGGAGGAGGGAACTGTGTGAGGATCTATATCAGTAACATAATACTGGAGTAACAGGAGGAAGGAACTGTGTGAGGATCTATATCAGTTAACAGGAGGAGGGAACTGTGTGAGGATCTATATCAGTAACAGGAGGAAGGAACTGTTTATGGATCTATATCAGTAACATAGGCAGAGCTTTTACACTTTTATTATCGCAACTTTTCTGTTGTAATCTAGAAAGTGAATAATCATTATTTTCATGATGGATGGAATGCAAATAACACATAGATTTTGAGTTCTGTTTTATACATGTACATCTTTGCATTATATATAGTATTTCACATCATCCTACTACAGGATCATAATCTGTTAAAAGGCACTAGACTTATGGTGTTGATTTTTTTTTTTCCCCTGGCATTTGGAATTTCATTTAATTTTTCATGAATGTAACAGTCAATTACTTCACTTTCCTATTTTTTCAGGTAAACATTTAAGTATCCATTGTCCATTTCAGATTTTGGAGGTATGCATGGCAGCTTTTCTTCTTCCCTTAGGCTTTGTTTAAGGTGGTATGTTCCTCAGTCTTTCTTGTATTTGTTCTTCTGTTTCTCCAGTTTGCCCAGAGCTCGGTAGATGTCCTTTTTGACTTGTTTTTGTTTCCGAGACTTCAGCGCCCCAATCCTCTCCATTTCTTTCTGGTGTTTAGTCACCCTTTCTCTCATTCTCATTTTGTCTGACCTCATTTTGTGTTGATACAGGTTCTTAACCATCTTCATCAGTTTGTTGACCTAAAATAAAAGGTTAAGACATATTAATAGCTCTGTATATTGTGCCTTATTTTTAGGAAAAATATATGCAGTGTAAATGCAGCTCTAGAAACAATTTGAATCTACTTTTAAAGATAATTGATGGAATGATGAAATTTTGGTTGAAAATTTTCATAAGAATAAATTTTGTGTTCCTTCGGAAAAATTCTGTTTAATCTGAATCATTAAATATAATTATGTTCAATTCTCAAGTAACAAACATTCAATTTTCCACAGGTTTTTGGGAAATGCAAATGGATATTGCCTAAGGAAGAGGATAAATTTTTAGTTAAATGTTCCAGTAATGGAGTATCAATCCAAATCCATTTCACATTTGATTGTATGATCTAAGTAGCTTACCTTTGTATGATCTAAGTAGCTTACCTTTGTATGATCTACGTAGCTTACCTTTGTATGATCTACTGCTTACCTTTGTATGATCTACGTAGCTTACCTTTGCTTCGTGCGGCTCCAGAATGACTGCCACTCTTTTGTACGGGTCCTCCTTCTCTTTCACACTCTTTGGTGTGTCCTTAAATGGCAACATCTTCTGGAGCTCCTTGGGGATTTTAAGTTTTGGCTCATATCTCTTTTTTCTTTCAACAGGCTGCAAAGCAAATTAATAAAGCTTTCAAATGACCATGATGTTGTGATAAAGATAAACCTAAGTTGAATAGAAAGAATTATCATGCACGTACCTAACAGATATCCAAAATGACAAATCTGAAGCTCATTTTACAGTATAAATTTTCTAAACCACAGACTTTGTAAAATGAATCCTTGCTCACCCAGGCTGCTATTTATATTTGAATTATAATATTGCTATATTTTTCTTTAAGTATTTATGTAAATCACAGACAAACAGACCTTGTACAATGAATCCTCCCTAACTGACATTGCTATATTTTTCTTTTAGTATTTATGAATATCACAGAGACACTGACCTTGTACAATGAATCCTCCCTAACTGACATTGCTATATTTTTCTTTTAGTATTTATGAATATCACAGACACACTGACCTTGTACATTGAATCCTCCCTCACTGGGGAAGCTATATTTTTCTCTAAGTATTTATGTATATAACAGTGACACAGACCTTGTACAATGAATCCTCCCTCACTGGGGAAGCTATATTTTTCGCTATAAGTATTTATGTATATAACAGAGACACAGACCTTGTACAATGAATCCTCCCTGGCTGGGGCTGCTATATTTTTCTCTAAGTATTTATGTATGTAACAGTGACACAGACCTTGTACAATGAATCCTCCCTGGCTGGGGCTGCTATATTTTTCTCTCTCTTTAGTTGTCCCAGAGTCTTCATTCCCACCCAGGCTGCCTTCTCTGCTGGGGGTAGCAACAGGGAGGTCACAGTGGCATAAAACTGGGGTACCTCCACAGGGTACCAAGTCCTCATGAACACTATGTCTGGAAATGGTACAAAATAAATTAAATTAATTCAATTCAATAAAAAAAATTACTCTTATAATATACACTAAAATCAAATAAGCAATGTCTAAATAAAACACAACTGTCTTAATTTCAATGCTTGCAAAATTCAACTTAAACTCTTAATCAGCAACTTCTTATCTACAGTATAGGTTTCAAGCTTTATTTTGATTTGATTCTCAATCGCCGCGAATCGTGTAATCCTGTTACCACTGAGGAGGATCTTGTCCTCGAACGTGGCCCTGAACGCTCCTTCTGGATTCCTCAGCGCCTTCTTCACCTGTCCTCGGATCCCGCTGACTGTCCTCAGCTTAGCTCCCTCAAACTTAGTAACTTCCAGAATGGAGTTAAACATGCCCTAGATAATTACAAAAAAATATTTATAACTGTAGCTTTATAAAACAATTAAAAAATTTTCATAAAATATTTGCAATACTTAAAAACATATACTTTTTTTAGAAAACAGATAAATCACCTAGTAAAAGCACAATGTGGTATAACATTTCACTTTCTTTAGGAACTGACTTCAACATTACATATGAAATAGAATCTGATGAAACATTCATATTTTTTACCTTAAATTCTAGCTTGACTTGCTAAATACATGTATTAAAAACAAGAGAATTTTTAAAAATACCTTTTTTGTAATCAGGTATAGACCTTCTAACTTTAAGAATACAGAATTTAAATTTCTTTTTGGCAAACAAAAGAATTTTAAACAAAACTTCCTTTTTGTAAACAAGTTTTCATTAATGTTAAGTAGAAAAAGGGCAAGACATGTTTTCATTATTTCTTAGCATTTTATCCTTGGGAGTGGGTGTTCTTTCGTACAACAAATTTTTATTCTCATTACCCCAGAATACCCAGAAAGGCTTGGTAAAAAAAAAAAAATTGTAACAGAGCATTTATCATTTCTACACCTTTAGAACTGAAAAACTGAAAACAATTAAGTCCATTCTATAATTTTCATTTCAACAAGAGTAAACATAGTGAGATTTAATCTTCTTTACAGGTAAAAACAGCTGAGTCTTACCTTAATAAATGCTGTTTTCTTGTAGATTTTATAAGGTGTGCCTGTCAGTTTCAGTTTCTTAACAATTTGTATTGATTTATCCAGCTCCAGCACAACACCTGTGGCAGCAATCCTAAACCCAGGCTGTAAACAGGTTATAAACATAAAAGAGTCCATTTCAAAATATAAATTCTAAAGCTGAGCTGTACAGTGTAAGTTAAATAGTTTAAGAGACATGGATAAGGAGAACCTACATGTATATGTACTTTAAAAGGTAGCAATCCTTAAGCTAGGTTGTAAAAGCTCCATTATCATGTTCTTTTCCTCTACAGTTGATAAAATTTACAATGACATAAAAACAGTTTATACTTATAAACAAGTTTTGGATCCTAGGAAAACCTACCTCCTTTCCTGCTACACATTCTACAGCAAGTAACCCTGTGCCTTGTGGTGTAATAGGACCTACAAATAAATAACAAGTTAATGTATTTACTGTGGTGTAATAGGACCTTAAAACAAGTTACTGTATTTACTGTGGTGTAATAGGACCTACAAATAACAGACAAGTTACTGTATTTACTGTGGTGTAATAGGATAAAATTTACTGACCTAAAATACAGTTATATTTACTGTGGTATAAACAAGTTGTTAGGACCTACAAATAGGAAAACCTACCTCCTTTCCTGCTACACATTCTACAGCAAGTAACCCTGTGCCTTGTGGTGTAATAGGACCTACAAATAAATAACAAGTTAATGTATTTACTGTGGTTTAATACATGTAGGACCTACAAATACAGTATAGGGGATTAATTTCACGGGTTGTTATTTTCACGTTTTTTTTTTCTCCTTGGACACGATCACGGTTTGTTGAATTTGTGGAATCGGTATATAATGGAAGTTACCTCCCTTGTCTTTATCCTATAATCCATAGTTTTAATAGCTAGAATGAAATAATTTAGTGTGATGTATTCATTTCACGAACAACAGGATAGGTTAATGATTTAGTAGGTAGTTGCCAACTGATCAAAAGAAGGGCCGTTGTTTAAAGTCTTTTACTATAGGCATCGAATAACTTTCATGTGTACTTTTACGATGAGTGCATGTACACCCAAAGATCTTTCCGAAGAAATAACACATAGCAGTGAAAAAAAATGTAATAAATGTGTTATTGTCGGTCGACGTAATAACATTCTTCCATATCTTCAACAAGTTCGATAGTTTTTCGAATGATATTTTTTAAACAAAATTGAAAATGTCGATAAAAACTACTCACATAATAATGCAGGTAAGAAATACATGTGGAAACGTTAGTTACGCATGGATAATCAAAAAAGTGTAAACCCTTGTGTTCTGATTGATAAATCATGTAGCGTTGGTTATTAAAACAGCTCTTTAACAAAAAATACAGGTTATTAGCTGCTTATTTGAATTAAAATAAAAAATGTGATAATTGAATGAAAAGTACTAGTCGTAATAATTACTGAATGACCATGCATTGTATGTACATATACCTATCTTAGTCTATTCTCAGTTTTCCACATAAAACATTTCAATTATTGAAAGCTTATTCACTGTTTCTTGATTTCACGGATTTATTAACTCTGTGAATAAAGCGAATATTAACACTGTGAGTTATTTTCCCCCTATACAGTAACAAATAGGTCATTTAGTGTAGTGATATGGGTATAAGGATATCAATGTAATGCTATACTATGGTTACAGGTACAACTTAGGAAGAATCTCTCTTCAGATTGAGCTTTAGATGAGCCCGTTCTTTACTTACCCCAGAAGCAGGCATGACAGTGGAGATGTTGTGGGGTGTACTTAAGAAGACTTACCCCAGAAGCAGGCATGACAGTGGAGATGTTGTGGGGTGTACTTAAGAAGACTTACCCCAGAAGCGAGATATTGCGGGGGGTACTTAAGAATACTTACCCCAGAAGCAGGATGACAGTGGAGATGTTGTGGGGTGTACTTAAGAAGACTTACCCCAGAAGCAGGCATGACAGTGGAGATGTTGCGGGGTGTACTTGAGAAGACGATTTCTGAAGTTGTGGTCCTGTATGGAGTATAAAGGAATGGACTGAAATCTCCGCCATCCAAGGGAGATAATTAGAGGATTTCGACTCTTCAGGATCTTCTTGTACCATCTATGCTTCTTCATTCGAGTCTAAATAGAACAGGTATATAAATATACAGGTCATATGTAACTTAATAAAACAGGTCTATAAATATACAGGTCATATGTAGCTTAATAGAAAATCAAACACTGTAAAGCTGTTTATGTTCTCTGTAAGCATCATATCTTTTATTCAAGGAAACATTCTACCCAATACATAATATACATACATGTAGGTGAATATGACATGCAACAAGAAACATTCTGAATAAAAGAAGGTTGTTAAATTTTTTTGGTATATTTTTTTTTAAGAACATTAAATTTTTTTTGTATATTTTTTTTTAAGAACAAAGAAATATAGCCTGAAAGAAAGGGGCCTAACATATTGCCATTCCAGTCCACACACAGCACACGTTCAGTATGTATCGCCCATTATAATTGAACATGTACCTGTAAATATCCAATGTTCCCCTCCACACTCTGTATTTACCTGTACATATCCAATGTTCCCCTCCACACTCTGTTGTCCCCCCAGGATGAGGGGGTACGTGGCATCAAAGTTCTCGACAAGTTCACATGGCAGTCTCTCTAGCTCTACCCTGACATACATCCCCGGTCTGAAGCCCTCGTACCCCACACGTAGGCTGTCATCCATGTTCTCAAACTCCGCTCGATTCAACTGAAATGTTAGGAATTTCATATAAATCATTCCGAGTTTCCTCAGGCTCCAGGCCCATGAAACTTAGATGAACTCACTTTTTATCTCATTTTTACTTTTCAACCTCATATATTCCTTTTGTAAAAGTGAGACTGAAATCAAAAGTGAGCTCAGCTAAGTTTTATGGCCCCAGAGCCAGGTCTGTATAGTTCTAACTTTATTTTAAACCCTTCCACACAAGTTTTGACGAAATAGACTATAAGGTTATTGTCTATTGTGCTATTACAGTAATTTATAAGAGCAGGATTATTGTGCACATCAAAAATATATCATTTTAGTTATTTTTTCACGAGCCCAAGATGTTCATATCAAACCTTGGCTTGTTCCTCATTCTCCTGTTTCCAGTTCTCATAGAACTCGTTATCTGCCTTCATGTCATACTCTTTGTCAAATAATTCCTTAAGCTTCTCTTTCTTCTCCATTCTTCTCTCCATTGCTGACTTCTGAGCCTTTGTTTTCTTCTTCTTTGATGGATCCCCTGACAAAAGAACTTATCTATTTCAATTTTGAGACATAAAAGGGATGTCCAAAAAAATAATTTTACATCTAGAGAAAAATGAAATGATTTTACAAGTTATGTAAACATCCGAGGTCTTTTGTGATCTATTAGATCCTATTATTAGAAAAAAAACCATACCATCATCATCATCCTCTTCATCCTCATCCTCTTCTTCCTCTTCTCCGTCTCCATGGTGAACCTCTCCAGTTTCTAGATCCTCAAAGTCTCCATACAGTTCATCTGTAAAATTTTGTCAATTTTTTAAATTATTACAAGAAACAAACCCTTCTGAATACCAATCATATGCTATAAGCCCCAAGCACAGTTCTAATTGTATATGATTGAACACAGTAACAGTAGAAACAGTTATCCTAACCATCTTGGTCTAGTAGAGCTTGAGCATCCTCACTCTTTTCCCATTCTCCTGTCACAAAGCAATCTCTGATCAAATCCTGCACCTGTGAAGTTAGAGACACAAATCAATGTAGAACATATCAGACAATGTAGACCACTTCCAGTACTACAATTTGGCACAACACACCCTCCCCAACTGCTACACCCTTGCTGGAATGATTACAATTTCCCAGTCCTGTGGAACAATTTTTCAAACTTCCCCCCACCCCTGTTTTTGGTGTAATATTTCCTACCTCCTCTATCTCCCAGTCCTGTAGTTTGTCAGGCACACACTTAGAACTGTCTGTCATGTTAGCTGTTAGTTTAGGATTTCCTTTCTCATCATTCTTTTTCAAGACTTTGAATAATCCTCCCAAATCATCTTCCTCTTCCTCTACCTCCTTCTGCTCTTCCTCGCCTGAAAAGAAAGAAAACATTGAATTATACCATAACAAACAATTCTAAAACTGAAAATATTCCTCCTTTTTCAAGAACAGTTGATGTTTTATAGCACATGCATCACAAATAAAGATGCAGAAAAAAAATTTCTGTGGACAAAAGTCAACTTTTACTGCTGCTGAAGATCGAACCACTTTGAAAGGAACTGACATACTCACCTTTACCATAAATAAGCTTCCTATAGTTAATCCTCTCTGACTGCCTCCTTCTGAAGGATTCTGCGGCTGCTGCAGCTATGTTGGCCTTCCATTTTAAGTGTCCTTCTTCTTCATCCTCATCCCCACTGCTATCATCATCTTCATTATCATCATCATCTTCATCGTCTTCTTCTTCTGAACCTTCATCAGAGTCATCTTCACCACTGTCTTCATCATCTTCCTCCTCTTCACTGCCTTCATCATCCCCAGGACTATCAGAATCATCGTTATTATCATCGTCATCATTTCCAATGTATAACTTTTTACTGGATGTTCTTTTCTCCTTTTCATGTTTAATCTCACTAGCACCAAGAACTTTAGAAGAATCACCAGATTTTACATTGTCCTGAGTCCTTGATAATTTGGGTTTTTTCTTTACTATTTCTTCCTCTTCAGAATCAGAGCTACCTTCCTCCTTTGTTTGAGAATTTCCCTCTTCCCCGTCATTAACCTCCATGTCAGAGTCACTCCCTGATCCGGAGTCAGATTCTCCACGAGTACGCTCTAACTGTTTAGATTTAGTCACAGATTGTTTTTTAACAGAATTTGAAAAGAGACTGAATGAATCCTCTTCATCACTGTCATCAAATACCAAGTCCTCTGTCTGCTACAAATTAAATGGTATCAGTTCTGACTTTTGTTTATCTATAATTACATTCTGTCAAACATGTCTGAAAATTCTTTAATACCCTAAAAAAAATAGTTTCATATAGCCACAAATGAAGCATAAAACTTCAAGGTTATAGTTGTGCTGTCATGCGGCATTCTAACTTATGAGTCAGTACAAAGTACCTTTCCCTGCTTGTGATCAGTTTCAAGATCAAATTCGGCCAAACGACGAATTCTTCCCTCATCATCATCTGAATTATCCTCCTCTCTAAGAAATAAACATGAACATTTATTTATTACATCTTAAGAAAAATTTTTCATATCTTAAAATCAAAATATTTAAATATCAAGGTGACTTCATTCTAACATACAGTACGTCTGCCTCTGTGATTGGAGCAGCATTGGAGAACAAGGTCATGTGACTGGAGGTCATTTTCTCGTCCAATGGATTGTTGACATTCATGAGGGAAGCAACCAGTTCATTCATAGGGGCCTCAGGTTCCTGAAAATGAGTCACAATACAGAATCAATGAATAGCTTTGGACAGTAATTTGAGAATGCAGCCTTAAAAGTGGAATACCCCGTTAAGGGGCTTAGGTTGATATGACATAGGATATGCATTTTAGGTTTTGACATTTTTGATGTCTAGTACTGCAGTGTTCATATATTCAATGTGTCTCTTGCATCTGTTAAATAATTCTTTAATTATAAGATATCAAGCATCTTCAAAACTCAGTTTCTTGGACTCTAAATCTTCTCTAGGACTTTTCTGTTGGGCCATTGAACTGAGCTTTCTCAGGTCACATGTACATGACTGTATTTTAATCTCTAGACAGATAATCTTGTAAATTAATATACAAATTTTAAAACATACATTAAGAAATAATGATATATATTTAAATGTTTAAATAAAAGCACTTGTCATAACATGAATTCAGAATATTACAGATCAGTTCCCCTTTGGTACCTCTTCATTCTGTTTGAGAGAATGACTTCCACCTAGGTCTATGTAGACAGCGTCTTTGTCGTAAATAACCCCGCCCACCCCGGACATCGGAGCATAGATCAACTTCTCCTTCACGTGGAGAGTTCTCTTCTTCTCTTTGTCTGGCATTGGGCAGGGGTCATTTAAACTCTGCATGTCACTGATAGAGTAATCACCACAACCTAAGGATTAAAAGTATAGAGAACTTAGTACCAATCAAAGTTAAACAGTAGGAAGTATTATCAGAGGTATACATTACTTACTTCTTAGTACTACTCAGATTTATACAGGACATTGGTTGTTATATGACATTTTAGGGAACATTTGCCTGGTATGTGGATCATAGAATGGTTCTTTGTGTGTTATACATTATTTTTGTGGAACACTTGCCTGGTATGTGGATCATAGAATGGTTCTTTATGTGTGTCCCTCTGACATAACCGTACATAGACAACTTCCTGTCACACTTCGGTTTCTGTCGAATGGCCTCAGGGTCAGTGATGTCTTCCATCCTACAATAAGTCAATAACAAAATCAAACAAATGGAAGTTTTTCCTAATTATAATGAAACTTCTAAGCATCTAATCTGGATGCTGTATTCCCAAATCTTGTAATATGGAGAGAAGACCCTTGCAGTAAACTCAATTGTCTGAAAATGTAGTCTAATCCTGAATATTGTCTAACTAAGAATGTTCTCTAATCTGACCAATTTCTAAGGAACCATTGACGTCTGGACTAGACATACTGTATATGTACATTACGTATATCAGTAAAAAAAAATCATAACATTTTCAAAAGGAACAGTGTATTGTATCATATCAGAAAAACAAACATATTAGAAATCTGCCTTATTCAATAGTACATGTATTTCATCATCACACTGTATGAAGAACTAAGGAGCACCTGTCAACTAGGACATAGGGATGAGTAAGTCTCCACTGGAGAGGGCGGAACTTCATCACCGAGATAAACCGACACAGATTGTGGACCTCTGTCTTCTGGTATTCCTCATTAACCATTCCAGACAGATAAAACAGTTTGGCTCCCTACAAAAGATTTTCATCATTTAGTACAATGTATCAATTGTTTTGTTTTGAACAGTATACATGTATCACTCAACAAGTAGCAAAGTAAACAGACTTTATATCAGATGAGTCTGTATTGCAATGTTACCTGGTAAACTTCGGTCCAAAATCTATGTTTTAGTCTCTTTTTGGTTTTCCTCATTTGTTTATTGTCTTTGAAAGCATCAAGGTGAGTCAACACCCCCATGATCCGAGGAAAGCCATGCACCTGGCATATGTTCAGGAACTCAAAAGTCTCCATCTCAAAACCAAAACTAGCATCAACTAGTAGTAATACCTACATGTAGAAACACAACAAGAAAAATTTTGTTTAGTAAGATAAAAAATTACATGCTACAGAACTTAGGGCAAATCAATTTTAAATCTATATATCTTTAATTATTCTTGCATGAAATGTAAGATTTTTAGACTGTTTAAATTCACTTTAATCTGTGTTATTTGTAAACTCTGTGTTATCTGTGTCACTGACCAGATCGGCGACTTTGGCTAGGTCAATCATGCTGTTGATGTCATTGTTACACTCCATCAGGGTCAGGCGCCGGCTCTTACCTGCGGAATTCAATCAAATAATTAAGTATAGTACTACCATTTTCAATGGCAAACTTAGTGTACTCAGATAGAAATAATATTAAAAGGAAGAAGAATCAACTGTTTTAAATTGAATAATATCTAGTGTAATTTGCTCATAAAGAATGATCACTTATAGTTAAGCGATTCTAATTCCGCCTGGCAATGAAAATACTGTTAGCTTTACCAATACAATGTATGATAATTTGAAATCCACTTATAAAGGAGCAAAAATGTCCCTCCCTGGCACTCGCTATTAATGCATTTTACTGTAGAAAAATCCAAAACTAGCTAAACAGTTTCTTTATATTTTTTAAAAAATTAAGAATACAAGATGTAGTTTAAAACTCTCTTTAGAATATCAAATTACTCATTTTTGGGGTGTAATAAAGTGTAGCTATATTCAATTTACAATCTCAATATTTAACAGCTATTAGATGTTAGCTGATATTTACCTGACACCACAGTCACTGGTCCCTGGACATTAGCTAGCCTCTGTTTAGTGAAGTTTTTGACGATACACTGTAGCAGGGTTGACTTGCCCACTTTAGCAGGGCCCACAATGGCCACCACTATCGGCGGTGGTTCTAGCGGTGTCCTGTCTACCACAGGAATGTGCTGCTTCTTTGTTTGTATATCCTGTGTTCTGAAATGGAATTCACATTCCTTAAGATGGTCATAAACTTTAGATTGTGATACAGTAATATTTCGGTTTGTTTTATTTATTATAAACATTTCAAACAAGTTATAGACAAAGAAATGTTTATTCTATATACATCTCATTGTTTAACATTCTTTATGTTTTTTGAATAGAAAAGAAATATATAAAAAGTTTTTTTTTTAATCAAAGACAAGAAAGATAAGACTGAGATCAGTGGGCACCTCTTAATAAGTCTGGCCGTTTTCTGAGCATGTTGAATAGAGAAGGCTTTAGGGTTTCTCTGTTGAGGGGTTAAATCCTGCTCATGTTTATTCTTGGCCTTTTTCTTGACTGCCTTGGGTCCCGCCTGTCGCTTTCTGTGTTTCTTCTGACTTGCATCTTCCTCCATTTTGTTACATGCTATATCATAAGGTAACTGAGTAGGTCTTCATCAAAACAGAACCAGGCCCCACACCTAAAACAGTTCACATATAATTACATGCCTAGGAAAGAAAAAAAGTCAATTTTCTTATTATAGAGTGATTGGAATGTTTATTTACTCTTCTGGTTTAGGAAGTAAATTAGGGTTTTTTCATTATGTAATTTAGGCCTACATCAGATTACCCAGTTAATTAAGAAATATTCTAAGAGTTAAATAGTATAACAATAGTGATGTTCCAATCATCGAATATAATAAAAAATCAGTCCATTGCTTGCATAATCCAAACACTCGATTACACTTTTTTATTCCAAATAATGGGTTTTTTTTATTTTACAACTGTAACAGTCTTAATAATAACTTGTCTATTAACCTATTAGTGTATTGTAATGGGGCAGATGAACAGACACTGTATTCATACCAGGGTAACAATGCTCATTTCAAAATATATACATAATTTGGATTCTACAAAATGAATGAAGAACCATCTGGACTTCACTGAATGTTCTATGGCTAGAACGATATTGTCCCAAGGACTAAGGCTTGTCCAAAGACACAGCTTGTTCTTACAACAGCTGGACCACCATAAAAAGTAGTTATTCACCCATTCTTACAATTTATTAATCTAAATTGACGGACTTTGTAATGTAAATGTCCCATTATAATTGATAATTAGATCTAGTAAGCTACAGTAGCACCATCATCGATTATGACATTCTTACCGATTCCCATCACTTTTAATAGCAACATTGAAGAGTTTTGAATAAAGAAACAGACCTTTAACTAAAAACAGACAGACCCTATAACATTCCCAAATTTCTGAGATGGAACACTTAACAGGCCACGTGAAAGTCTTAGTGTGCATAATCAACCACCACCTCACAACGTGTGTTCATTATTTCTCAAAAAATCGAAATGAACTAAATTAATTACTGCTTGGATTAAATGATCAGTAGCTAACCTTTTACAAAATATGCACTGACTGTCTAGCTTTTTCCTGAAGCTGTATACTACTTAAATATACTCATATAAGAAATTTATTTTCGTCCTCATGTTTTGACATGGAAGCAGCCATCTTGGTATTAAGTCGTTCTACAAATCATTCGTTTATTTATTAACTGCTTCATTATCAGCGCTGCAGAATACAGATTACAATAGTTTCAAAATTCACCTCACCAATTTTACGTTAACCATTTCAATCAAACTGATAGGCCTAAATATATTTTTATTTTATTGGTGTTTCCATCAACACATTTGTGTACTAAGGTAGATTAAGGGGACAAAGTAAAACAAAGAGGGGACTTTTTGTCATTTTTAATAGCACTGTCCTATAAATATTAAATGAACATAAACTTAGAAGACATAATAAAAAATATAATAGCACTTTTATTGTCATGAAATTATCACAGTTATTCACCATCTAAAGTCAAAGCCTTCCTCTAGAAAGTCAATCGAACACAACCAGTCTATCTTTGATCGCTTACAGTCAGAGTTCTCGGTAGAAGACAACTTTCTCTTTCTGGTTCTGGTTTTTCTGTCAGTTTCTTCTTCTGTTTCTACACAGGAGGAGGCAATAACTTCTTCAATGAAAGATACAATATTGTTCTCCGGCGAAGAGGTATCACAGATATTGTCTCTAGAGCAAAAATTGTCCAAACTGATATCGACAGAATCCTCAAAGGAAGATGATAGATTGGAAGTCTGTTGAAAAGAGTCGAAGTGATTAGAGATTTCCTCCAGAGAGTCAATAAGGGAGACCAGATCTGTCTCGTCTAGGAGAGGGGCTGCAGTCGATCCCAGACCGTTACAGTCACAGCTGTCACTGTTGTGGAGGACCAGCATGGGTTCGTTGTTCTCAATACCAGGAAACAGGTCATAGTCGATGTTATACTGCAGACTTGTGTCGACAAAGAGAGGTTGGTACATTTCCGAGGAGTTCATTTTTGCGAATACTGGTAGAAGAAAGTGGCGGGGTATTTTATACGTATTCAGAATTAATTTTACTGTGGAGCTGACCAATGGGGCCTCAGCGTGGGGGTGGCTGAAGAACAATTATTTGGGCTTGCATTTATCCTTTAATTAATTTTTAACAGATATCTTAATCGGAATAAGCAATTTACACATATTTCATTTCTTAGGCTGCAATTTTAGGTAATTGTTGTTTTAACAACGCGTGCAAATCTTCTCGTTACATATGGAAGATTAAAGTATAAATCTTAATTAAATGTATAATTGTTCAATATTATACATGTAGTTGTGTAAGTTATTTAATTTTCAGTAGTATTTCAAATCTTTTTCTTGAAATCTTTCAGGAAAAAAAATCAACTCAATATTGTCAATGTTAACTTGATACATATACAAATACATGTAAGAGGGTTAAATCAAAAGGAATGTCAAGACTGCTATAAAAACTTTTTAAAATCTCGTTAAATTGTAAAGATTTTTTTAATTTAAATATTATATATAGTAAGGTAAACTCAACGACCTAGGTTTTGTTTTTTTAATAAATTGCTTTGACGTATTATACTTTTCGTATTAAATTTTGCTGTTTTATATATCATTCTTTAAATTAATACAATTGTTAAGTTTTCAAAATGTCATCCAGCTTTACGATATTTCTAAATGTAAACATTTATCATATAATTGAAAGATCTTTATTCTGCTTGTTTATAAACAATGTACATGTACTCTACATTCTTGGCTTGCAATTTCGAGTGGTCCTACACCCATACACTGGCCTTCCCGATCTCAATGTTTCCAAACAGATCTGGAAGTTTGGATCCGCCTCTAAGGTATTTTTCAGTAGTTACCCTCTCACTATATTTTTAAAATGAATTTGGGGTCCGTAGGAAATAATTTCACTCGCGGGGGAGGGGGGTAGTTACTCTCTCACCATCGTTTAAATTTAGTATGGGGACCGTAGGAAGCAGTTTCACTCGGGGGGAGGGGGCGGGGCTCTTTCACTATCATTTAAATTTTCAGTTGGAGGCACAATTTCAGCTCTCTACACATTTAAATTGTAGTAACAAAAAATCCTTGACATCAAAATTTCAAAAAAAGGTCATAAGCGTTTGTATTTTTAGTGGGAGGCTATAGGCATACACTGTAGTAACAAAAAAAAATTACACGCAAAATTTCATCATAAGTGTTTTCTACAGTATTCTATATTTTAGCAAAATTATGGGGGGGGGGGGGGGGGGGGGTGCACACTCTATTTCTACGGCCATGATACATTTATGATACATTTTTTTAAAATCTTATAATTCCAGTGACGTAGCATCGTTTTTGAAAGGGGAAGGGAGGGGGCAGCTAGAAAAAAATTTCACCTGAAAAAGTTGACAAGCAAGAAAATAAAAGAAAATCGGGGAAAAAAAAATCCTATTTGGGGGAGAGGGGTCAATCTTTTCTATTCTTTCAATACCAAATTTTTGGAGTACAATACTATATCACCCCATAATTCAATTTACTGTTGCAAAAGGGGGGACCAGAATTAATTTTTCAATGTAAATTTTCACTTGTAAAAGTTAATTTTGGGAAAAAGTGCCCCCCTCCCCCCCCCCTGTTGCTACGTGCCTGAATTCTTTTCCTAATATATCTGATAAAAACATTGATCATGTTGATAGTGATGACATTTGTTACAACAAAATATCTCATTTGAATATCTAAATTACCGATAAGATTCACTGTTGCGTAAATTAATATTAGTAAACACTCCTCTTTGCGCATTTTTAAACCAATTTCTAGTTCTTAAGTACACGCGACTTATTGCTGAGGGAAAGAATGACCAGATTTTTAACAATATTTCTACAGTCCGCGACGAGTATTGGACGTCATAGCTATGTCGAGACGAGTTTGTTTTGGATTTAAATTCAGATTCGTTTCATACCTGTGCATTTTTTGTATATTAGCTGTGATGATTTTATTAACATTTTATGCCAAAAATTCTCAAGATAACAGAGAAAAATTATCTGGAAATCTTATTAAAGAAAAATCCACATTGTCGATCATCGACATTTTCGTCGTAGAAGAACATCACGAAGGTGTGTATAAAAGTTTACTTACCTGTCATTTTAGTCTGACCTCGGGATCATATAAGCACATCACTAAAAACAAAATATATCAAAATGTATTACATAACTCTCCAGCAGTCAAAATAAAGCACCACCAAGATTGTGTTAATTAATTAAGAATTTTAAATTAAGTTTACAGTAACTATCAAATTCTTGTGATTCTTTTAATTTTTCTCCGGTCAGCTTTTCACATGATCGCTATTGGGTTTTCTATTTTTGACGTACTTATCAATTTTTGTCAAACGTTTCATATTAGTTCGAAATATCTTACGTTTTCCAAGACTTTTTTCAAGATTTTGATGTTTTTACATTGCCAGGAAAACGGCCCGTAAAATACCAAATTCTTGAAAATATACACATGTATATAGTCTGGAAAACGTCAGATTTTCCGGATAAGTTTCATATGTAAACATTTCGTTTTTAAGTAATTCCGTATTGGTTTGGAAGCAGTGGTGGAAATTTAACGGAAAGGAAAGGCTTAACTCTGGTAAGTAAAAATAAGGAATGAATTTTTTCCCAATTCTTTCAATGAACTTTTCTTTATTTTTACATGGCTGAAATCTAGCCTCCAAATTTGCTATACACTGCACAATATTTCGAAGTAATATTCCAAATTTAAAAATAATTTTATCTGAAAAAAAATAAATAATTATTTAAAAACATTATTAAAAATATGTTGAATTAACGGTTTTATTGGCAAAATAAAAATTCTAGTTTATCTCCGAGACACATTTCCCTTTACGGAATACAATCTATTTTATAAACAGGTGCGGTGAAATTAAATATAAATTTTAGATTCATTGTAAATTAGCAGAGGTTCGATCTGAAATGAATCTACCCAGCATATGGTCCAGTCATTTGATCCTCAATATATAAAATAATCAGCAAATCTGTTCACGAAGCCATCACAAGACTAAGTTTTATTTTCTAATTAATTTTATTTATTTGTTTTCCTTGTGTGACTAGATCCACATTGATGGACACAGTGATATGGGACTACCCCAGTATTTCAGGAAACTCCCCTACCTCAGATGGCCAAAGAACAGAAAAGAACTAGATTACTACATGCAAGAAAACGACATGTTCATCCTGGTGAGCGCGATAAATTTCCTTTTATGCCCGGGCGGGACAAATAGTGTTTATCATGCCCGTCATTTCGTCCGTCCGGATTTTATCTTGACCATTCCTTTAGCATTGACCTCACTCTTCAGTCAAAAAATTGTGTTCAGCTGTTTCAAAGCAAGATTTTAAGCTATTTTAACTAAACACTTATACAATGTACTGATACATATTGGTATGAACTCTTCAGCTGTTTTCAAATTGTATGATCTTAAGCTTGACCTTACTTTTCTTTACTTTGCCTTCAACTCGGTTTTAACAAAATAGGCTTATGCACCGATATATACATGTATATCAATTCCGTCCATTTTTCTCGTTTACCTATGTTTCTAGCTTATGCAAAATTTGAACATGATAATTAAATGCCGTGTACAAATTTTGCATAAGAATTGGAATATCAAAATTTGAACGGACACTACCTGTATATGACATTTAGATGGCACTGCGGCGTGCCTCCACGCATCTTTTACCATTTTTTGAAATATGAAGTATAAACCGAGTGTCAAGGAGCAGGGCCGTTCCTTGCGGTGATGATAGCATGCAATTCCTTGTGCTGCAAAATAAGAGTTTTGTAAAGGGTATCTTTTTAAATTGTGTCAGTGTTTCTCTGTTTCAGTCGGCGGTCCTGTCTGGAATGTACAGTAAGGTGGTGTGGGTGTGGCCGAGGTGGGATCAGGAGAACCACGAACACGGACCACGTGAATTGTATTCTGCGAAGGTGGGACGGTTAATGGTGGATACCTCAATCCCTAAAATGAAGCGTAAGACCCTCTGTGTCTGTTACCAAAGTTTAAATGTCAACCGTAAAAGTGATAAGGTTGACTGTCGACGTCTACCGACATCTTTGGAAGATGATGACGACATTGATGACGGGGTTGAAATAGATCCCAAGACGTGTAAAACTGAGATAACGTTTTCATACGAAGAAGTGAGAGAGGATTTGGCGGCTGATATTTTTAGGCGGGAAGCAAATACTTATAAAGAGAATGGGGTCATCCTTGATATCGACGAGGACTTTTTTGCCTGTACATATGCTTCACGGCCTCTGTTAGACGCTGGTCTAACGGAGAAAGAAATTGACTCCGTTAATGACATTGTCAGTGGCACACTGTGTCCGAATAACGCCAAGGAAGAACAAGAAGCAGACGGGGTTTTCACAGAGCTGTTAGATGACGTCATATCTGCTTGTTTTGGAAAAGAAAAACAAGGAGGCAGTGCTTGTCAGAATAAAGAAGCATCAATTCGTGATAAATATCTACATATACTCAATAACAGGAAGGAACATTTGCTGTGCGGAAAGACTTTTGACAGAAAATGGAATAAAGAGGAACATCTAAAAAATCTTGTTCACCTCCTCCTGGGTATGATGAAGGCGCAGATTTTAGCCATTAAACATGTCGGGTTTTGTTTTACAACAATAAAATCACGAGGATTAGACATGACGAGATCATCAGAATTCCATTTGTGTACGGGTGCAAACACACCGAATAGGTCCATGGTCATCGAACATAGAACTACGTTATTAGAAATAAAACAGCGCACCGAGGGCCTTCAAGACATTTTTACAGCATTAAAGCCCAGTCTTTTGCCGTCTGTAATAACTCTTTGTCGGTCATCACGTGACGGCTATGTTCCCAGAGAACTGCAGAGTCATATAGAAAACAATATCATTAAAAGCCTGTCATCGTCATTTTCCGTACAATTGAACTACGATGTCGAACTGTTGGGTGGCAAAGAGGGGTGGTTGGAATCGAGAGGCATATCATAAATCCAGTTCTATGTGTTCCATCCAATAATTTCTAGAGATTTATCATTTGAATTCTTAGTCATCCTTAAGATCCATTGCATTTCATCCAATAAAGTCATGAAACAAGGTTCATTCATTGTTGTTTGATTACATTGACTATAAGATCGTCGATTATGGAATTCTCCAAATGTATTATACTATTTATATAAAGACTGTAGTCTTCCATTTAACGATTATACATAGATTGGCAAGTAACATAAAAATTCGCTCTTCATAGAAAATTAAAAAAAAAAAAAAAAAACTTTACCACAATTAAAATCCAAACCTGGTTTTGAATTCAACATAGCATGAGAATTTGTGAAATGAAATTTTGTCCGAAATTTCTCAAGGAGAGCTACTGCTCTTCAACAAATCATTAATACTGATATCATTAACAGATCTATGCAAAGTACTTTTCTTAGTTTTAAACTTTTCAACATTGTTAACACTGATCACTCCTCTGTATCACCTGATCCCACCTCTCATATTTGAGGTAAGTGTTTGCACTGCTCCTGATTTTATTGTTTGAATGAATTTTTGAGCTAGCAATATCAATCTTGTAATCTGATAATCAAAAAAAAAAAACTGCTGAAATGTTTTATCTTTTAATTTTAAGGATAAAAAAAAACATTTGATGACATATCACCTTTTAGTCTTAGAGACAAACAGCAATGAATTAAGTTTTAACACCCCACACATGTATTGATGAGCACTATGTATGTATGGCACGTTCTAACCCCCAGTGTCACTCGGTATCACTGTTTGTATGAGGTCGTCAGCATCACAGTCCCAGCTTCAGTGTTTGTAGAAGCCTTCGCCCGTCTTGTTTCCAAGTTTTCCTTGTGCTACATATTTATCCAATAAAGGACTAGGCTTGAAGAGGGGGTTGTCAGGGAAAGCCTTATGCCAACCTAAAATAAAGTTTACACAAATTGGTAAAATGCATAAACTTAAAATGTTTCAATTTATAACTTTTAAAACAATAGGATTGTAATGACAAGGAACAGTAAATGTTTACCATCCAATATGAATTTCATTGTATCGAGTCCAACATAATCGGACAGTTCAAATGGCCCCATGGGATATCCTGCCCCAAGCTTCATTGCTGTATCGATGTCTTTCATGGAAGCATCTCCTAAACATCAAAGAAAACCACTTGTGATGTACATACACATTTTCAATGAGACTGTTATTGAGACATTTTAACAATAAAGTTTTGAGCTGACATCATACATGTAATTATTTATATTGTGTAAGAATCCCTGTACCTCTTTCTACCATTCTGACTGCTTCCAGCATATAAGGCACCAATAGTCTATTTACAATAAATCCTGGAGTGTCCTAAATACAAAGTTTAAAGGTAGTCAAGAAGTGAAAAAAATCAGTAAAACTCCATCATATTAATATGTTAATGGATACATGTATATGGATAAACCATCTGCTCATACTTTGTCCACACTTTATGTCTTCTCATACTGTATAAGTTTGCCCATAATTTATAGTTTTACCCATACTTTATAGGTCTGTCCATACTTCTTGACACATTTTAAGTCTTCCAAATGTTTTATAAATTTGCCCATATTTTATAAGTCAGCTTATACTTTATATTTCTGCCCATACTTTATATGTCTGCCCATACCTTGCAAGAGACTGTAGTCTTCCCCATATCTTTTCCAAATGCAAGCAACTTATCAAATGTAGCATCACTTGTGGCTGGGATCCTGACCACCTATAGTCAGTATAAAGAAGAGACTTAATCCTTGTATGGAATGTTCTGTAAGCTACTGATATGAAATTTTATATCAACTGACTTCTTAAACCATGTATAGCAGGGCTCGACATTAACACTTGTCCGCTTGTCCGGTACCAATGAAAAATAAATTCGGACAAGTGAATATTGCTGGGCACTTGTCCGATTGGACAAGTGCATTTTAATTTAATGGGGTCTCTAAATAATAAAAAGAACGACTGTTGAAAGCTAAATCGGTAGTCTCGACGGAAGCTGTACATAAAATCCTAACTTCGATCCCGATATGTATCGCTATATTAATATTGTGTTCACATTCGATCGGGATCGAAGTTCACTAATTGCATACTAAAATGAAAAGTCATGGAAGATACGAACCGAAGTGTGAATATTGTTTGATGTTGACAGGTTCACTTGTGGACATTTACGTTATTGTCAGGACAGAAAGCCTAAATTAAATTTCGTTTTATGTGTCTGTTGTACCGGTATTTATCAACATACATCAAGAATCAATCAAGCGCATGACATGTGTAAATAAAATGGACTTAATTTTAATTTTCAAGTTGAAACTATTGAACTTTATTGAAAATTTTTGGACAAGTGAAGTTGAGATTCGGACAAGTAAATGTCTTGGTCACTTGTCCGAATGGACAAGTAGGAAAAAAAGTTAATGTCGAGCCCTGTATAGATTATGTTAATGCATACTTTTCTATATTTTAATTGTACTATCACTAGATTAATTATAGGTGTACAAGTTGTGTTTACCTCTAGTAGTTTCATCATTGGGACAGGGTTAAAGAAATGCAGTCCTGCAAATCTGTCCTTGCGTTTTGATGCTATAGCAATTTCACCAATTGGAAGAGAGGATGTATTACTTGTAAATATAGTGTGTCTGAAATGTGAGGGTATTCTCTCAGATAAATCTGTACTACATTATACTGCATTTACATTGTATGTTGTACTTATTAAATGAAAAGTTTGATTTAAAATTCTTGAACAAGATTTGTTACACAATTTTACCATTTCTTAATTAATGATATTTAATTAAAAGAAAACTGTTCAATTCTTCCAAATGAATGAAACCTGTCTTTCCTATTAGTCAAAGTTTACACAGTTGTCATTTGGATATGATCTTGACCAACCAAATACACAACTCTGAGAGCAAAAACAGCATTATGATTACTAGAATAACTCTTACTGTGGAGCTACTGCCTCGATTTCTCTGAACAGGTTCTTCTTGATTTCCAGGTTCTCCACGATGGCCTCTATCACCAGATCTGTGTGAGCGACACAGGTAATGGGGCTGGTAGTCGGGGTTATCCTGGCAATGGTATCCCTCACAAATTGTTCTCCTGCCTAAAACAGCAACAAATAAATATCATAACATTTATAGACAATTATATTTTCATTTCTTTCAATCAGATTCACTACTTTACAGTTTGTTTTTATAAATACAAGAAAGATCATCCTACTGCTGGTTTGTCGGCAAACTTCTTATTGGCAACTCTATACAGGCTCTTCTGAATGCTTGTCATAGATTTCCCCAGAATGGTGTGGTCCTGATCCACCAAGGCCACTGTGTGTGCTGTAGATGCAGCAACCTAAATCAGTAAATGACAGGATAACATATGTAACCAGGGTTCAATATTTCACCAATGCATAATCATGAGTATAATTCGAAAGTGAGAACTGTTGCTCCCTGAAATAAGAAAAAATGATGGATAGGAAATGCATCCATAGAAAAAAAATGTATACTGTATACAGGGAAATTTTCGCCTCCGTTTTATTTTCGCCCCTTTCGCCCTTGTCTCAAGTGGGCGAATTTAAAACGGGGCGAATTCAAAGTTCACAGCATTAATTCTTAAACAGAATTGTGACTGGGCGAATTAAAACGGGGCAAAATTGTTAGCAAGTGTAAAAGGGCGAAAATAAGACGGGGCAAAAATAACCCTGTATACAGTATTTATTGCGAAGAAAAGCTTAATCAAAAAAAATCCTTAGACCTCTTTCAACTTCCCCCGTTATTAACAACTGCATAAAGTGCATTTGAACAATTGTCTTGCTACAAAAAAAAAATAGCAATGCTATAAGCCTAGATGTGTGAAAGTTTATTGTTTTACATTGCCTTGGCATCACGCATGGGTATACTCCAAAAAATATGTTCTAAACAGCTAAATATTCTATTAAAAAACAATGACATTGACAATATGACCAGTGAACGTCCCCTACAATAAGAAAAGATATTGTCGCTAATATGTTTTACGGTGTAACCGTTGGGGCGAGCGCAGTTTATTTACTATCATAAACCTACACATGCACTGTCTATCATTCAGGGAAAAAAGCAAAAAGAATAAAACAAAACAACAAAAAGAAATCATTTCCCAAGCATCGGGATCGAGATTCGAAAATTCTCGGAAGTTTCCGACAAAATCGGAAATACCCGAACCGTAGAAGTGACGAAAGTCTGACGTCAGAATGAGCTAAAAAGTTCTGTTGACTTAGATCGCAAACTTTAGTTTTATGGAAAAGAGATTGCATTAATAAATTGTTCTTTTCATGTAAGTTGCTTTGTTTAAGCCGAGTTTCACGGAAGCAACCGACATAACTTCGTCAGAATTCGTAAGTTTCCGGTGACGTCATTTGTATCTTTTCCGAAGGGCAAGGTGAAGGCCGGTGTTGTGTCATGGGGGTATTTTTTGAATAAGGTAAGGCAAAATCATTTCGTTAAGATTTCGGTAAGAAACAATGTTCCTTTAATTTTTTTACTATTTTTGATTTATTCGCGCAAAGGTCATTGGGTAGTGCGGGAATTCTGGGAAGGTTTCACAGAGAAATTTCGCTGACGTATGTACAGATTTCAATCCGAATTTCCTCTGTTCATACACGTTAGTCTATTGAGCTCGCTTCGCGAGCGTCGCTTCGCGACGCTCGCTGCGCTCGCTATAATTACAAATTATTCTAGTTTATAAAAAATAGTATATGAATGCTCTTCAAAACAAGTTTATGTCCAGAGTTCAGAGTTCAACTGAACATTGCTGCCACTCACCTGTGCAATACCTGCCCCCATTAGTCCTCCTCCAACGACAGTAACATGGTTAAAGACATTTGCTCTTTGTGCACTTGTTGCAAAGGACCGAACAAACGTTTTGCAAAGATTTGCCATGATAAACAATTTTATTTTGGCACTCTGGGGTTCTTTGCCTTCTAGAAAGAAAGTCGTCGACAGTGTCCTTAATAACAAGATCTCAACAACGTTTTATCTGAAGTATTTCGTACATCAGACGTGAAGCATCAATGCAACTTGGATTAAATAAATAAAAGTAACTCGCTCCGTTCTCGCTTCGCAAACAAAAATCGTATCGAGTAATAAATTAGCGCACATCGCCTTCACAAAATTACATAATTAGTTAATGTCAATGAGGTTTCACCAGAAATATTGCAATGACGCCTCATACGAGACACTGTTTTATTTATTTATTTTTCATTTTCTGAGTATCAGAAAATAATTTTCTGACATAAAAAAAATTCGGCGATATTTTTTACATCATATTCATAAAACGATTTTCTGATATCAGAGAATATTTTTTTGCATGATGTCAAGAAATTGATTTTCGGATATCAAAAATTTCTTTGTTCAAAACTACGATTTTCTGATACCAAATATATATTCATATTTTATACCCCCCCCCCAAAAAAAATCAGTTCAAAATTTTTGATATCAAGAAATTAAAATTTAAAAAAAAATGATATTCTTGATATCAAGAATTATTTTTTGACACCAAAACTTAATTTTAGAAATTTAGCTCTAATAATAAATAAATAAAATAAATAATAAACTAGAGGCAATGTGAGCAATTTTAAAAGTAGGCCTCCCACGATATTGGCGTGGGAACTGCGCATTGTCCCTTTTGGTATAGATTTTTTTTCAATTTCTGACTCTCACAATTAAACATACAGTGCTGTGTATCAAAGTCACTGTTTGAGTGTGTTATGTCATCCATTGAAAAATATTCTTTATATAAGTACAGGATAAATAAATAATAATAGGAATTTAGGAATAAATTGTCTACACGTTGAAAAACTACACACCGAATGTCCAACACAAAACACTACAATCATTCGATTTAAACAAAGCACATAAATTCAAATGTATACTTAAAAAGATTGTTTATCTAAATATTTTATTTAGAAATTAAATTTACAAAAAGCTAAGTTGCCACATATCTTAAAATATAATTTTGTTCAGGAAAATATGGGAAGGGGGGGGGGCTGTGTTACAACGCACTTTGAAAAATTACGCACTTTGAAAAAATTTTTCAAAGTGCGTTAATTTTTGGGACCAGGTTAACGCACTTTGAAAAATTTTTTTCAAAGTGCGTTGAATTTGGGACCAAATCAACGCACTTTGAAAAAAATTTTCAAAGTGCGTTAAGACTGTACATCATAATTTTACACCATGTCAACATTTAACGCACTTTGAAAAAATTTTCATGAAACAAAAGGAATTAGACTTATATTTTAGAAATAGACAACAGTATTACCCCCTCGCAACGCATGATGGGATATAGTGATGCGATTATGTGTGTTATTACTTTATGTGTATGTTATTTTTTTCTGTGTGGAATTGATGTAATTTGTATCGCGATCGATGTCAAATGCTGCCTTGATTTACTGAACATGCTTTTTGGGAAGGAATGCTCCGCTTTGCGGTGCCCTTACTTTGATGTGTTTCTTTCTAAAAACTGATGGATTGAGGAAAACCTAGAAACGGACAACGAAGAAAAGACTGGCTGAATTAAGGTCTGTCAGCTCAACTCTTTATCATTTCCACCCAGATGTATCTATTTCTATAACTCGTAAACTTAAGTGTCAATGATATTTGAAAAAAAAGAGCATTCTAAATACAATATAAGCACTGTACAAGGAAGTCTGTAGTAAATAGAAATTTTTTTCTTTTAAATCTCAAAGTCTATTTATGTTCATTTTCAGGAGAATCAGAATATTAATTACATTAATTACATTTAATTATATTAAGTACCTGTCTGCTTTCGATGTTAATTTGATACCATATCTGATAATCTCTCTGTTAACCTCCAGGTATTTAACTTACATGATATTTTCATAGGAATTGTTCATTTAACATGTATCTAATATCTTTTCTCATGTTTTACGTAAATAAATAAAACATATATATTAAATTAATAAAATACAATTATTTAGTTTTAAATAGCTTTAAAATTTCGTTTTTTGTCTATAAACATATGCCCCCCCCCCCCCCCCCCCCCGTGAAACACAAAAAGCTTTGGCATAAATTTTTAAAATAACAGTCCATATTATCTGTAAAAAGGAATTTTTGTTTCACGGGGGGGGGGGGGGGGGGGAGTTGTTTAAAAAATATTTTCAGTTTTCCGTTGATTTCTATAGTGGAAAACACAAGTTTTGCCAAAATTATAGAGTTATCTCTCTTTGGTATCCCAAATAAGTAAGGTTTTATGAAAATTCCTATAAATATGTATAACAATTTTGAGAATCGTTCCAAGATGTTAACTTTTGAGAATTGACTTATAGATAGGCGGAAGAATACTATCGTTAGTAGTTCTTTACGACCTTGAATGTTGACCTTTTGACCCCAAATTCAAAACGGGTCTTCCTAAGGCCACAGGGATTCTGTTATGTTAAATTTCATTGCAAAAGCTCAAAGGGTTGTCGAGATATCGTGTGGAAACGAAAGCGTTACAGAAAGACGGATGGACGGACAGCTAGACGGACGGACGGACAGGTAGACCCAAATTAATACCCCCCCCCCCTTTTCAAGCGGGGGACAAAAAGTATCAAATCAGGTTCAAATGATAAGTTATCATACTTAAGATTTGTAGGAATATTGACTAAGCCATGCAGAATTTTTTTTCAAAGTGCGTTAGTATGGTCCATATTAACGCACTTTGAAAAAAAATTTTTTTTTTCAAAGTGCGTTAACCTGGTCCCAAAAATTAACGCACTTTGAAAAATTTTTTCAAAGTGCGTAATTTTTTCAAAGTGCGTTGCCACAGGGCTGACTTACTGAAAATCTGAGCAAATAAGAATGTTTACACGTTTTCACATGCAGATATCAGCCAAAGGCATAATTGAAAAAGATAAGACATGAAAGACACTGCACTAGCTAGCTTGATGAAACAACACAGTTGACGGTTATGAATTAACATATCTTCACATGTAATGTCACATGAATTATAAAAAAATAAAATAAAACTTGGATAGTTGCAATAAATTAACTTTATCATGTCAGACAAAGGAAGATGTGCAAGTCTGTAGTCAACAACTCAGTTCATAACTTTAGGTCTCTTGTGTGTAAAGGACACATCATCTTGCTATGTACTTGTTTCCTTTCTCCCCCCCCCCCCCTTATAATTTTCAAGTCTGCATATACCAGTATATTGTATGTACAGGTTTGCCAGTCATATTGAATGTGCACAGGCTTCGTCCCTTACTACCCTCTATACGTAACCACTATTTGCACTATGTATATACTATAGTAAGTTACTTCTATTATTATTCATCAGGGCTCGAGCTGTGATTCGCCATTGTCGCCAATTGCGAATTTTTTTCAAAAGTGGCGAAAAGAAATTCATAAGTGGCGAAAATGAATTTTTTTGATGTACCATGTACCATGTACAAAATTTGAGTAGTCCTGGTTAACTCTTTTGTTTATTCAATGTACACAGATAAGTCCCTATGTTTATTTAATGCAGCAGAGGTGTGAAAACTGAAACCTACATGTAGGAAATCACGTCTCGCTTGAACGAACACAGCTGACTAGGGAACTGACCTGGGGCAATAAAGGGTTACAAAATTGCTTGGAATAATATAATTTGGATGAAACAAGGGGGTATAAAGTGTTATTAGGATATGAAGTTAGAAAATAAAAGATTTTTATCAACAAAATCTGGATCTATGTAGATCGTTTTTTAAACCGAAAGTAGGGAAACGTGACGAAAATTGTAAAGAATGGCTTCAAATTTTACCTAATTAAAATTGAAAAATTTGTACATTAATATACCATAAACTGACAAAGAGTGAAAAAGAAATTGGTTTGGAAACAGAATTATCTTTAATTAGTAAATTACACTGAATTATTTACAATAACATGAGCTTGCATATTAAACCCTGGAGTCTCCAAGTTGTTAAAATAAAGTCAACTTTCAAACCTAATTTTCATTACTTTTTAATTACTTCTTTTCACAATTGATCAATGGAATGATGAAAATTTCCATTTTTAAAAAATGTCATATTTTTACTAGGTCTTTGCCCCCCCCCCCTTCTCACAGGCGAAAAAAAAATAATAAACAAGAGGACATTTTCTGTCAAGAGTTGACGGATATCAATTCAAATTTATTGTATAATTCCAGCATAATTTTTTTTAAATGGATAAGCTTTAAACATTACAAATTTAAAACAATGTCGGTGTCAGATAAACATAATTTAAAAAGAGGACTAACATAAAGTGCATTGCAATGTCGAGAAATCAGATGTAAGTATGCCTTTCCTTTTGTCGCGAAAAGTGGCGAAAAATATTTTCGGTCCAGTGGGAGCCCTGTTATTCATTGTAAATAATATCACCATATGTGGGTTTATATCTCTTCAATGTTTTTAACCAAGATTTACACAACTGAGAGATGTTAACATTTACATGGATATCATATATTATTGCACATCTTCCATATATTACTCCATTAATTGGGGGAAAATATGAAGAAGAAAAAAAATGGAAAATTTGAAAATCTCTGCATGCACTGTGCTAGATATGATCATTGACTGAAAACCATGACACACCTCTGGACCATGGCAAATGTATACACGTGTATGTTATCAAAAATCAAAGTAAGAGTATATTGGAAGATTTTATCTGTTTTTACGTCAATGAAAATACAGCTGGTGCGTTCATACCATATAGTGCCTCAAATGTTTCTACAATTTATCGATTCGCAGATAGGAATCGTATAAGAAATTTTAAAAAAGTAGTTTACGTTCTTCATGGACTTTTAGTAAAACTTATTTTCTATATGATTTTATTGATTTAACCATTGATACAAGGGAAATCCGACTCTGAAAAAGAACAATAGAGAAATTTAGCTCTGATAATAAATAAATAAATAAAATAAATATTAAACTAGAGGTACTGTGAGCAATAAGCTCACTAAATGACCCCCCCCCCCCCCCAGCCTCCCATATATCGTTATAATGGCAAAGCCCATGTTTTG